ACACCAGTGGGAACCAGTGGGAAACACCAGTGGGAACCATCCAATCCGCTGGGGGTCAGGAGAGAACAAAAGACAGAGGAAAAAGCTCTCGATCCACTGGAGCTGGGATACACTCTTCTCTCCTGTCTGTGGACATCAGAACTCGAGACTCTCCAGCTTTGGGGTTCCAGGACTTACACCAAGGATACCATCAGCTTCCCTGGTTTTGAGACCTTCGGACTTGGACTGATCCATGCTGCCGGCACCAGTTTATAGATGGCCTATCGTGGGACTTTTCTTCATAATTGTGTGAGCTACGAGACTCTTCAGCTTTTGGGTTCTGGAAATTACACCAAGGACGCTGTCAGCTTCCCTGGTTTTGAGGCCTTTGGACTTGGATTGATCCATGCTGCCGGCACCAGTTTATAGATGGCCTATCGTGGGACTTTTCTTCATAGTCACATGCGCTAATTCTCCTAATAAATCCCTCTAATAGAATTATAACGTATCCTATTGATTCTGTCTCTCTGGAGAACCCTAATACAGATTTTGGTACCAGGAGTGGGGTACCAAAATCTGTATTAGTCAGGGTTCAGAATTTAAAAAGGAAGCAGAGTGTAAAAATTTAGAAAATTTGCAGCCTGGCCATGTGGTAGAGAAGCAGAGGCCATTTTCAGAAGAAAAATTCAGTGGTGCTACTATTAGTACAAAAGAAAGGGATTATCAAAAGAAGGAGGAAAAGGCCCTGAAGGTATTGCAGAAGCTTCTTGGGGCCAACCCTTCCATTTCAGGCCCAAAGGCCTACAGAGACAGAATAGAACAGGCTTGAGGAGCCCTCCACTGGCTCACTGCTCAGGGCCACCTCAGGAAGCTGTTTCCAGCACCAGTACCCCAGCTACTTTGGCTACTCTAGCTGTGGGTAAATTGGCCTCAGGTGTGGCTGGACATGCAGCTTTGGAAAGTACAATCCGGAAGCCCTGGAGGCATCCATGTGGTGTTAGCTCTGCAGGCTTGCAGAATGCTAGAGCTGTGCAGACTTAGGAGCCTCCACCCTGATTTCAGAGGATGTATGTATGATTTCCCAGGAGGAAATCTGTCACAGGGGCGGAGACACCACA